CGTGTATCTTGACCAAGAAAATTGAAGCTTAGCTACAATGACATGTTTTTAATAATAAAACTTGAAAAGAGTTCCTGAAGTGCTGCCTTACCAATATCCCAGATGTATGAATCCATGCAGGTTTCTCCTGCAAACTGTTGAAACTCTAAAATGGAATAAGCTACAGCCAGCTTCCTAGAACTTTCCGGGTACCATGACAGACTGGTAGCTGTACGTTTCATCTCATTAGGATCCCTAAAAGCAAATCAACACTCTAGTAACGTCATTTCATAAGGGGGTTAGGAGGGCTTATAAAATTAATGGAAGGGCTTATACATCTGACTAGAAAAAGAACTTTGAAACAAGCTAAAAAAATGGCAGTGCTTAATCAAAATATGGTTTGCATTTTCTGGTTTTTAATTAGGCATTAAAACGTCATAATAAATTGAATTCATTTCAACACAAGCTAGAGGGGGCTTATATGTATATCTAGGGGAACTTTTAATCGGATGAATTTTTTGTTCACAGGTACATATAGTATAGATGGACCTACACCAGGGGGAGGGGGGTTATACCCTCTAAGTGCAGGAGGAGAGCTCATAAGTGGCAGGTTACAGTAGATATAAATAGTAGAAACAGGTAACTTCATCACCCATCTAGACTGCCGTCAACTTCACCATGAAATAATATAGTTACGCACATGAGACAAATACCAGAGTCAAGTTATAGTAGGTCTACTCTACTATTCATGCTAATCATCCAGGAAATTACATACTGCTGTAACACATGTACATTGTCATTGTCATTGTCATTGTACATTGCAAAGTTAAAAGTGCTTTATTATTTTCAATGGGTTACCTGAACACATTGATGGTTTTGGCAGATGGTGGCTCTCCCGACGTGTCAATGTCAATCTCAGCAAAGTACTCCTCATAGATGTCAATTGCATTGTTCTGCTTGATGCAATGTTCCATAACCTATTTAAGCAAAAGAAGGAACCCAGAACAGGTGACTCTCCTATCCAGTTACAGATAAAGAAAAGTATTTTTGTACAGCTTCAGTTGTGGAAAGAAAACCTGAAAAAATTTTGGCTTTCCTTTAGCAACTGCATAAGTTGTGTCTTTTGCAATCATCTACTTTGCATAACAATGTACCTCTTCATTCTGCAGTTGCAATACATGAAATTCATATATTCATTGTCAGGGCTGTCAACAAGCTTTTAAGTAGCAGGCTGATAATGAATCGTAGGACGCATTGGAACTCACACCAAAGGCACAAGTTCTTGAGGGCCAAGGCATCTAGGGACATTTTGAAATTTAGAGTCTCAGAAATAGTGTTTCCAGGGGTTTTCATGAGGTATTTTGCACTGCAGACGCCATGTTGTTTCATCAGAAAACGCACAAGACTAGGAACTGCCATTGAAATGTCCCAGGCGTTCCACGACATCGCACTGTTCGAACTTGTCACCCCCTGTTTAAATATGCATGCAAAGTCATTCAAAACTGGGAAGTGGATGCTTTACAATTTTATTTGATGGTGCTTATTTTTTATTAGCAGCTATGGTAGAAGGAAATGAAAGTAGCCGGCTCAGGGTGGCCAGCTAGCCAGCGGTTTTGGCCGGCTACCAGCCCTTATTGACAGCCCCGCATTGTTTTTACACACACTTTAACTATAACTAAACTTTTTGAACAATTTGACAATTTAGTGAAAATGAAATCAAGGGCAACAAAGCAACAGAGTTACAAAGTCAGTGAAAAATTTGTTTGATCTGCCTGACATGAATATTAATAATAATTAATAATTATTATAAAATATTATCAAGATTATGTAGCTGTCAATGGCAGTGTAAAACCAACGTCATATATGGACTATATGCACTTACACTTGAAAGTTGCTGTATAGTGTTCATGTAATTTTCATCCTTTTCCACTTTCTTTCTGTATCTGATTGTCTGTTCTACTTCAGCAGCATTGACATCCTTGGGCCATCCTCCCTCTACATGGTTTATACCTCGACTTTCTGTTTCAAATCTCTCAGTATTCACCTGTTGTGTAGTACAAAGATTGCACTGTTAGTAACCGACTGACATGACGTTTTCACATGTCTTAAAGTTTTAAGCAAACAAAAGTCCACATTTTTACCATTATTATTGATATTAAGGGCATTTTCTTTCTTGATCAGTTATTCAATAATAAGCAACACTTGTATCTGTTGTGCTAAATAGTTTGCCTCTTGCCAGCTACTGTTTTTAACTGAGATGTGCTTTATTGGCAGGCATGGTTTATTCCTTTCTGATTGCATTTTTTTTCATGAGGTTAGTGACTGTGAAAATTATAGCTACACTGTATGAGCAACTCAGGCCATGCTGTATTTCATCTATAAACATTTGAACATTTTTATCTTACGTACAGCTTTTCACAAACCACTCCAATCCACTTCCCTCAAGGCATTTCAGGTATTATTACAGATAAGGAACCTTGTTAGACTTGTTGTGGTTTAGTTTACAGTAATACATTAATTTATTATCATCAATTATTATTAAATTAAGTGACAAGTTATGAACACCACCTGATGTGAAAAATTAGACCACAGTCACAGGATATCTTAGAGGCAATTTTGTATTGGTAAAATTTACATTTTTTTAACCCTGAACCATCCGTAACAACCTCTGTGTGACAGCACCTGAATCTCTCATAAAATGGCGGCTGATATTCTTTCTCTCCCTCCTCCCACTGATTATTATTTTTAGTTCCTTTGTTGTCCTAGAGACATACATATAGACAGGCAATAAACCAATCATTTTCCATCTTTTCCACAAAGTTTGACATGTGATGAGAACCTTGGGGTTGGGACTTCCCAGTGAGCATGAGAGATCACATTTCCCTAAACCAATGGTGACTTCTTTTTAAATTGATCCTGAGGTTCCATCACTTTTTGGGGATGTGTCTGGGTTCAGAGAATAATTAAGAGATAGGGATGACAATTCAGATATAGATTTAGATGGCCTCAGGCTTTAACTCTGATGTATCATTATGATCATTGGCAGACCACCCTCTGTTCGTGTGCCCATTGTTGTCATTGAAATCTGAGCATCAGGCTTTTGTACTCATAAGATTACACACAGGGCTTCTGATATTTCGTGGAAAAAAAAGCAAAATTTCGCGGGATTTTCAGGGGCAAATTCACGGAAAAATCGGCCGATTTCGCGGGAAAAAAGTCAAAATTCGCGGGAAAATCGTTTGATTTTGCGGGATTTTTTAATTCCTAGGCTAGGAAATAAAGAAAACTCTGGATCAAACAAAATTGAAACCTGGTTTAAACTAACAACAGATTTTATCTACAATACATATTATTCACTTGGGGACCTGTGACTGCATTGAGATTCTTACCTCGTGTTCAGACATTTCTTGAACACATTGAATGCCAGTGTCGCACGGATTTTTCTCAATATAATCCTGGAGAAGCTTGTCATCTGGAGCAATGTCAACGTGAAGCTCAGCTTGACGATCAGAAAAATTACACTGTCGTCCAAATTCACTTCTTTTCTTTGTGTACACGTACACAATCTCCATTTTTGTGAGTTATGTATAAACAACCTGAAATAATGGGGTGTCTTAGTTAGGTAAGTCCATAAAAATCAATATTTGATAAATTAAAGGCTGTGAGTATCTGAAAGAAAAGCATACGATCAGCTTATTAATGTGCATCTCTAAAAGACATTTTTAGGTTACACTGTAAGGTAAAATCTCCTTCATAATCAGCTGTGCAAATGAAATACTAAAATTTAGTATTTCATTTGCACTTCACATTTAATGTAATTTACAAGGCAAAAAAATCCAACGGATCTGCAACCAAAAGCCCTTCCCTTTTTCTGCTTAAATTTCATTATGCCTAGATATATTTCAACAACAAACAGCTAATGAACAACACGAAATAAACATAGGAGGTTTATCTATCGTTTTTCGCTGGTTTGCAACGCAACGTTGAAAGGATGAGAAGCCTAGAGGAATGTTTAAAATAGATTTACCTTCTATTAACTTTGCAGAGAGCAAAAAAGTATATCGAAATCCTGGAGATAGGAAACTGTTCAAAATGGCCGACCTTGTTGTCGAGCTTTTGCTTAGCAACCTAGGAAGGCCTGGTTACATTCACAGGCTACCCAGGCAAACCGTTGGCTACATCATCTTGGGTGATTTTGCCGGTCGTTGGTGTTTTCAAATGCAATCCGTGCTCGATTTCGGGCCTGTTTTATTCGCTAGATCTTCAAAGTGTTGTCTTTGGTTTAGTTCAAAGCTCTTTTCATCGTCCAGTGGTTATCACAGCCGTTCTAATGTCGGACAAACTTCAGGGGAAATTGTGAAATGGATGGGAGAACACGCTCCCGTGTTTGGTGTGAACGGGGAAGATATTTCAGTTCTACACGAACCTAATCAATTTTTTACCACTCTGAAGGTACGATCTTTCAGTAAAATCAAAGTTTTCCCTTTTGAGTATGGTTTTTATTACTATGTTTTATTGCTTCCTGTTTAGGAAAATGTCAGCAAAGCCAAGCAGAGGATCATCTTGGCTTCATTATACCTGGGTACTGGGGCGAAAGAGCAACAACTTGTAAGCGCTATATCCTGTCTTAATAAGATGAATTTTAATATGTGTGTAAAAGAGAAAGCAGTCATTAATAAAATTTATGATGGAATGGCAACATCATCATCGCTTTTAATTTTATGTTCATGAACATAAACTTTTGCTCAAACCAAGGAACCTATGTCCCCTTTGATTCTCTTTGTGTGAACCCTTTACTTGCAATCCTCCAGAGCCGAGTTAACGTTGCTTGAGGCCTGTTAACCTGTAACCTCTAATCCTGGGTTAGCTGCAGATACAGCATATGTGTTGTCATGGTAACTATCACTGGATTTGCATTAATTACTTTTGAACAACTTGGCCCAGTCATATAATGAAACCAAAGTTATACATGTACTAGCTGAAAGAATTGGGTCGTTTCGTTGATTTGGGTGAATCGACTTTCAAGTGAAACAACCACAATTTGTGCTGAATAAAACTGTGACTGGCAGCTGCTGACATTTCAACAACTTGTGTAAGAGTCATCATCAGACTTCCTAATATTAAGCGTCAGTCACTGTCAAAAACCGAACTCTTCATCACTGTACTCATCGGGATGATCACTTTCAATCTACCATTATTTTCATCAAATGTCCGGCACTATTAACAACAGAACTACTCACTTATCTGGATGATTATATTCAATCTACTTCATGTATTTAATGAAATGTCAGTCACTATCAACAACAGAGCTATTTATGTCTGCACTCATCCAAATGATCATATACTGCCGAGGGGGCGATGGGCGCCACTGCAATTGATTGATTCTTAATGCAAAAGGACTATTAAGGCAATATATATTTTTTGCTAGGTTGACAGTATTCATGATGCAGTGAAGAGATCCAAGGCCTCTGACCAGTTGTTGAGAGTTGAAGTCCTATTAGAGCACACCAGAGGATCTCGAGGAGAACACAACTCCAGAACCATGCTTCTTCCTCTAGTTAAAAACTTCAGTGATGTGGTCAAAGTTTCTTTATACCATTCACCAAGCCTGAGAGGTCTACTGAAGTTGCTTCTGCCTGAGCGCTTCAATGAAACGGTGGCTCTCACTCATTTGAAAGTGTACTTAACTGATGATACCATTATCATGAGTGGGTCAGTGATTAGCTTTGTTTCTTTTAATCCTTTGATAGATAATTTGATCTCTTCCCTATCCTTAACCTGAGAAACCAGCCAACATTTTGTGACACACTGCTGGTTTCCACACAAAATGACGTCTGAGAAGCAAGTGCAAAAATTCCATACTGATGACACGTCACTACCCAGATCTGGGTCCTGCTTCTGATTGGTCGTGCCACATGGGAAATTTGCATCAACCAATCTCTGGGTCTGGGTAGTGATGCGTCATCAGTATGGAATTTATTCACTCGGTTCTCAAAGTCATTTCCTTGGGAAACCAGTGGTGGTGTCAGGAAATGTCAGCAGTTTTTTCAGGCTATCCTATCCTCCTCCTTTGTGGACATATTTCCTCTGCCCTCTTTATCTGCTCTTCCTCGTTCCCCCTCTATTCTTCCCTTGTCTTTTCTTTTCCTCTCTCATTTCCTTCCTCTTTTTTCTCTTCCTCTTCCATCCTCCCCTCCACTCTTCTTTTTTACCCCTTCCCTCTTCTCTTATCCACTGACATATCGTCCCCTCCCTTCTTCTCACCTTCCCTTTTCTTACCCTGTCCATTTCTTCTTCCCCTTCGTTCCCCTCCCTTATCTCTCTTGGGCTGCTTTTAGCATATGGTGTACATTTGTTCTAATGGTATGTAACAGGTTACAAGTACATGATGTACCTCCCAGATGTTCCTTGCTTTCTAACTAGGATTCAATGCATAGATCCTAGAACAGTCGTGAGCGCACATTTTGTACATATTTGCTAGATCACTGGAAGAACTGTCCTCGTAATTTAAGAGATTAGTAAAATTTTATTTTAATTCAGTAGGGAAAATCAGAGAATAATACTGATGGTCAGCAACTTTTTCTTCATAGAGCTAACTTAAGTGCTGATTACTTCACAAATCGTCAGGATCGATACATTGAAATCAAGAATTGTTCACCTTTGGCAGACTACTTCCATGGACTTGTGACAACTGTGCAATCGTTCTCTCTTCACCTTCAACCTGACAACACGACTGTAATGAGTAAAACCTTTTCCGTGCATCCAACAAAAGGATTTGACGGTGGTAAAAAGTTCAAGTCTGAGGCTGGGAAAAGAGTGTCTACATTTTTGAAAGAGCAACAAAGAAACAACACGCACAGTGATTTGAAAACGACAGTAAATAGTCAATTCGACACATGGGTGGTGCCTTTGGTGCAAATGTTCCCATTTGGAATTCGTCAGGACGAGTTTATTACATCAGAACTATTGAGCAGTGCAACTCAAGATAGCAAGTTATTTTTGGCCTCTGGATATTTTAATTTAACAAGAAAATACATTGATATACTGTTGAAGTCCTCTGCGAAGTATGAAATACTGACAGCACATCCAACGGTGAATGGTTTTTATGAAGCCAAAGGGGTCGCTGGTAAGTATTCATGTCACCCATGTTTTAAACAACAACAACAACAATTGCGAAAATATTATCTTGAGAAAACAGCCGACATTTGGCGACGCTACCACTGGTTTCCCCGCGAAATGACGTCTGAGAAACCAGCGCAGAAATTCCATACTGATGACGCGTCACTACCCAGATCTGGAAAGTGTTTCTGATTGGTTGAAGCAAATTTCCCATGCGGCTGAGTGGTCGTGCCACGAGGGAGATTTTCTTCAACCAATTAGAAGTATTTCTCAGATCTGCGTATATAGTGACACGTCATCAGTATGGAATTTCTGCGCTCGTTTCTCAGACGTCATTTCGGGGGGAAACTAGTGGAGGCATTGCAAAATGTCGGCTTTTTTCCCAGGCTGAAAGATTGACAACATTGAGAGGTTTACTGAGTTAAACTTTCGTAATTTAGATTGATCCCTGTTTCACAAAGTGCGAGTAGTTTATTACAGTTGTCAACTCTGTTGGGTATTTCTGCCTGACGAAGTAATTCGTTTGCCTATAATGGTTAAAACTCACCAAGACGCTGGTGTTAGGTCAAGTACTTCGCGGCCTTCTGTTCTAGATGCAAAATATTAGCAAAATTTCAGCTACCGAAGTTCGGGGTTCGGGTATGCACAGAAAGCAAAGCTTCAAGAGTTTTAGGTTTTAAAAGTGACGCAGCAGTTCAACTTTTACATTTCGCTTTCTCTTTCGCTTTTCTTGCTTTCATTTTTCTTTTTTTTTTTTCGCTGGGCATCATTTGGGTGGGAAAAGTTTTTGGGAAAGCTTTTAGGATCGTAGGATAAGATGAAGAAAGTTTTTTTTTAGGAATTTCTGGGTCAACGTTACATTTTTTGCCACTTTCTCCGTGCTCCTTGTCTAAATCTACATCAGGTTTGAAAAATCTCTTCCTCCTGCTCAACTGCTCAAGTTAGACGACAAAGTTGTTCTTGACCCTTTAAACTGACGACGTCACAAGCGGTACGAGTAACGAGGTTACGGATGGTTCGGGGGCGATTGGGTTAATACTCACGAAGTAACCGATTAACAACACTACTCCCAAGTACACGTAAAAACTAATAAGATTTTTGTAACAGCGATATTTTTACTTCAATTGTCTTTTCAGGAGGTATACCACATGCCTACACACTTTTAGCACGTGATT